CTATCTGCAACAGGATCTGAGATATGTTTGATTTTCGAAAACACCTTTTTAAAAAATCGCTAACTTTAAGCCCTTTTAAAATAGGCAATTTTTAGAATTTTCAAAAATCCTTCTAAACTATTTGTCTACACCCTAAGGGCAACTAAACTACCAATTTTCAACAAGATCCGCCGACCCCATGCCGAAAGTGGGTCCCTTAAAAAATAATAATGCCAAAAATTTAAAAAGTAATAAAAAAATATTATAAAATTAAAATGCATTTGTAGTAAATTTTTATATTTTATTTAATTTAAATAATTATATAAAAATATTATTTCTTTTACTGTTGATCCCACTCTAATCTAAGAAGGAATTTAAGAAATTGAGAACTAGAGCAAAAAGGTATTCACAAGTTACAACTATCAGGGATATGCAAACGCTCAAAATCAAAAGATACACAGCCTACGCGGTGAAGCCCCACTATCGAAAATAATAGCTAATTTTGTATTATATTTTTTTTAGCAAAATGTTTATTTGATTAATATCTCAATTTTATTGCGTGTACTGTAAAAAAACCTTGCTTACTTTAAATTATGTCAGAATAATATAAAAAATATTGAATTTTGTTTTCAAATTCTCTGTCACTAGAGACCATAAGCTCAAGAACTCCAAATAAAACTGGTATATAATTTATTATTATTATAATTGTTAAGTTTTGTAGATAATTATTATCATTATTATTTATTCTTCTCGGTCAATACAAAAAATTTAAATTGGAAAAAAGAGAAGAAAGGGTTTACAATTAGCAGATGTCTGCTAAAACGCCCGACATCAAAAGAGACGGCAATAATGTTTTAAATTATTGCAAAAAAATGCAACTCATAAGTTTTCACCATTTAAATGGAAATCGTACTGTACCCCTCAGAATTAATTAATTAGTTGTGAACTGTGAACCCTTTCTTCTCTCTTAATTCCAATTAAAAATTTTTTATGACCGAGAAGAATAAATAATCATATTATAATAATCATAATACATGAAAAAACATTATACTACATTGCAAATTGATAAATTCAACCAATCTAAGTAAAAAAACAGTTGGCAAATTTGACATTTTGGCAAATGTATAAATAATGGAGGTGGCACATTAGAGGCGCGACAGGAGGTGAGAGATGAGGGCATTCAACACGGAAATTCGATAAATTCCACGAAGGGCTGCGAAGTGCAAAACTGCGGAATATGAAACGCGCGTCACCGCGCGTCACAGAGAGAGCGAGCATTATTATTAATTTAAAGGGTGCGCGTCCGCCTGTGTGCGGATGACGAATTCGCGTCCATTACGGCCAAATGTGTTGTTGTGCATTATATTTATGAATTCGTGCGGGCCCCCCCAATAATAAAGCCTGGCAGGCTCTCGAGGACCGCCGCAGTCGGACACATTTACAAAATAATCACGTTGCCAAAAGTTTTGCATACAATAAGGATACGTAAAAAGCTGTTGCCCGAGTATAACAGGTTGCATAACAATAACGTGGGCCGCGTTCCAGCTGCCGCTCTCTCTCGTTTTTCATCCGAAATTCTGCACGTCAGCCCGCGCTATTCATGTTCTGCGGGAAATATTAATGATTTTCCAGTACCGCCGACAGCAATACGCATACATTTCCGAATTCATACGTGTTGAAAAAAGATAAGGGCCACACCACGTGGAGCACCGAGTAATGGAGTGAAAGTCAGTCGGTCTCGGAAAAGCACCAAAAAAACGGGCGGCAGTTCCGTTTTTTTGGGACTTGGCCATTATTGCGCGCGGCGAAATAAAACCTGTTGGGAATTTTCCGAGAAAAAAGAAAAGACGCAGGCTACTTATCTCGTCGCAGGCTTTTAACTTGTTAGCCGGCGTCTTTTGAGGAGACACACGCGAGCAACTAACTAAGTGCGTAGGCGCATCATAACAAATTTATCTTGCTGCATTTTCATCTTGAGAGGATTAAACGCGCCCGGGGCAGTGAGCGAATGATATATCAAAAAATCCTTATCCTCAATTCAGCATCACGACAAGGCGGGGGATGATGTCAAAACAAATTTAATGTATAACCATAATTTGGATATCAGAAATAGAAATAAAAATAAGTACATAGCACGTTTAGAATACTATTTCTTAACAGAAAACTATTTAAAAGTTTAAATTTCAAATTTAATTCATTTTTGTTATAATAACTGAACAATTTTACTTATGTTATTAAGAAACATTATTTGAAAATGAATAATTTATATTTTTGTTTAGAAAAGTATAATCAAATATTTCTATGTTATTCGTTGAAATCTTTTCCAAATTATTATTTTTTTTCTAACAGGAATTAGCATTGCTGAATATTGAATACTATTTACGCTCACCAATGTTTGATGAAATCAGAAAAAAATACATAGACTTGAATGTGCACTTCCTTGCTTTTATCTCCGATTAAAATGAATTTTGGTAATTGGCTTCCAGGAATTGGATATGATAATAATTGCCTTTCAATTCAAAAATTGCTTCTTGGCTTGGAAAAAGAGAAAGTAATTTTCTTTTCACGGATATAAATGGGAACGCTTTTCATTATTTCCGAATGGTAAAAAAGTAATTTGTGAAAGTTGAAATTTTCGCCGAGCCAAATTTTCTTTTTCATACAAAAGGACACAATGGCGCTTTTCAGCATGTAATTAAATCTCAATACAACTGATGTGCCCGGGAGAACCAATTCAGTTTCCATTTGCCCTGAATACCTCGGATCGATTTGGAATTTTTGCTCGGGATTGGGAAAATCCATGTGGGGCTGTGGACAAGCGCCGCCGTGATTGCGAGAATGAGCACGTGCGGCGAATATTACGTACACAAACACACACACACTGCGGGCAAGTGAGGCTAGATAGGGAGCAGCCGGGTTTATCGTCGTGTTTACTTTACTCGCTCGTAATTAAAAAGCTCGTCGGAGCGAGTTGGCATCCATAAGACAAATTAATAAAGATTCGCTTAATTAAAAATGGTGTTGCACACGCGGGGCGTTCCGCAGTGCAAACGGCGCCGCGCTGTTCATTAATATAATGAAAATGCAAATGAAAAGTGACAAGAGTATAATTATGTTTTATGCGCTGATGAATAATGTAGAAGTGGGTCGACACAAGGCAGGCGACTCGACTCGCTGCGGTGTGTTGTATTTGCATTTTTCACCCGCCACGGATGAGCGTATTTTTGCCTGAGATGAGAGCAGGGCGTCTTCACAGGCGTCCGACGTTGTGCCGAAAAATTGTTAATTGATGAACTAAAGGTACTAAAATTTATTGACAAAGTAAGGAAAAACAAATAATCTCCGTAATATCGGTGTTGCAAATTTTAGTGAGGTATTTTTTCAAAATTCAATATTTTTGATCATAAAAGATTTTATTATGTGTCGAAGACAATTTTATGTATTTGTATTAAAAAAGTTATACAACATAGATTTGCTTAGGTAAGTGAAGTAATTTTTTTTATAAATTAATAAGAATCTCTTTAAAAACAATTTTCTGAAACATAATTATAATTGCAAGTTTGCTACCATTTTAAAGAATTTTTTATATTCGAACAATTTAATATTATTTAATTATTTTTTTCTTAATAATGAAATTAGAATAACTAAAAACTAGAAGTATTTTAAATAATTATTTTTAGAAAAAATTTATCCTTTTTATTTAAATAAATTAATTCAACTTGTACAATTTTTGCTAACATTCACAAAACTCCTTAAAACTTCTTTGCATAATAATTGAAGACAAATTAATTTTGTTAACAAAAATTAATCAAATGGGCACAATTCTTATTGTCTGCAGCATTATTTTCGGCACATTTTTGGCGACTTGTCTCTCTCAAACAAGGAGATTTCGGAGCGGTCGTGCGCTCCTTGGGGAAAATGGAAATGTCTGCGAAAACCTGCCGTCCAATTAGTTCTCTTCGCAAACTCGGTGCGAGCTCAAAATAATGGATAATTGAAGAGGCGCACCCGTCTGATTACGTCGGCGGCTCTGCTACTCGTTTTGAAATTCACATTTTCGGGCGTCGACGTGACCCGCAACGAGGCCATTTCCACGCGCGGAGGCCTTTTGCTAATCAACTTTCCGGTGACGGGGCCCAATTTGGAAAGTTTCATATCAGGAAGCACCTGCAGCGCTCCCAATTCCTTCGCTTGACTGTTGCCCCCGGCGCATATTTTGATTCCCCTACCATTTTACCATTTTACAAACAATGCTGAAAGTAAGAATCCATTTCGAGTGGTATTCAAACGGGTTTTTTATATTTTGTTCATCAACTCACAAAATTTTTCTTTTATATTTTTAACTATACTAAATACTTTGCTTCTGAAGAGCTTCATATTCTTGATGTCAGTGGCAAATAAAATTTGGATTCATAACAAATAGACTGAAAATTGGTTAAAAATTTACTGAATATTTATTAAAACCCATTTTTTTTTAAATCTACAACAGAACGGCAACAGATGTCATGTCAATTTGAAAGAATCTTAATCACTGAGAATTAAAATTTAAAGTCATACTGTGGGTCCTTATCTTTTAATAATATAAATTTCAAATTTATTTTTGTTTCCAGAAAAACTTGTTTGGAAGATTATTTTAATTTCTGAAAAGTTTACAAAGCAACTTTTGTGATGTCTGTACACTGATAGATATTTTGAGAATCGCAGATTTGATTTTACGAAGGTTGTCAGATCCTTCTTTAACATGAGCCTTCGAACGGTACCGAGATTAAATTTATGCCCCCGGCGGCGGTGCTTCTATAAACTTTGCTTTCCGCGAAAATCCCCATGACTCGCAGTGCGCGATTTCAGCCTCATTTTCGCCGGTTTAATTTGCGCGTTGTCAGATTCCTAATTAGTAATTCCGGCTCGGTCTCAAAGTTCAATAGCCAGACTCAGTTTCAACCCCTTGCACAGGCAAGGCAACAACAACAACAACACCGGAGGGAGATTCGAGTGCAGACGCGCACAAAATTAAATTATACCTCCACTTGACGAAGGCGGGCGATGAGCGGCGACTCGTACTTCTTGTCGTCCTCGTGTTTGCCGAGCTCGGCGTCGTCAGCCTCGCCGGTGCTTTCAACCACTTGGAGGGCGTCCGTTTTCGCTGGGGCCCCGTTCAGCAGGTGACCCTTCCCCACCACCGCCTTGCACGCCTGCAGAAGGATGGCCAGCCGGGGTCGGTGCGACAAAGTCGCAGCCTCCGGAACGGGGCAGGCTTCGTCGACGGTTTCCTGCTCGCAGAGATTTTCTTCATATTTTCCGTTTTGCAACTGAAACAAAAGGAAATTTTATATATTAATAAAATCACTAAATTCAAATTTTTCTTTGTCCGAGAGCATACATTATATTATCATAAAATTGCTCACTGACTGCCAATAGAAAAACGATTGCTATGGACGTAAATAAATAAAAATGGAAAAGTTTAATACTTTTGGCGAGAACAAGAAACCGGATTGAAATTGAACCTAACCTGCTGCTTTCGCTGGAAAAACAGCTTAAATTGAACTCGGCCAATGCGTGTTGCCGGGCAGGACCGGATTTTCTCTTGTTTTCGCCCGAAAAACCCCTCTTTTCGATCAAATTTTGGACAGAAAAGCGACACACCAAATGACTAGACACATTGTAAACAAATACTGACTCCGCCCACCTAATTTCCTCCTAATTCGCAGCACACGAGGGCGCGATTGCATAGTGCACTGTTTTGCACTAGGCAGCGTCCCGGTAAAAGGTTAAAAAAAAGCTAATTATATTTCCTTAAAACATGCATCAGCACACAATAAGAGCGAAACAAAGAAACTCGGCAATCATGTCGTCAAAGTCTTAAGGCTGCTCTTTTTTTTAAATTTTGAAGCATATTTTCCAGATATTATAGCGCTTTGAACAATGCTTTGATTGCTTTGACTGTTTTCACAATTTTTAATAAAATCATGGATCGGCGCAAAATAAGAGCGAAAAAAAACTCAGCTTGCGTCGCGTCAAAATAAGTGTTAAGGCTGCTCTTTCATTAATTTTAAAGCTTTTTTTCCTAGATATTAAAGCGCTTCGAGCAATGATCTGATTATTTTCACTATTTTTCCTTCAAAAAATTTTTTTTTTCAAAACGAAAAACCAAATTGTTGAAAATTTAAACTTTAAGAACTTTGAATTAGCTTTATTCATTTGAAATGATCAATTTTGGAAAGAAAATAATTAAGAAATTTTAAAACAATTTTTTATATACATATTTATAAACAAATATAATGATTCAATAACTAAAAACAATGTGTCCAGTTGCCATCACATGACCATTCAGTTTGATCTCTTTCTTGCAAACAGCAATACTATAAAATTTAATGCCAGCTCCAGAGTGTCTATATATTTATTATTTTTTCAAAGAATTATTAATAAAGATTAAATAATAAAAAAATAATAATAAGATATTGAACATTGCTTTAGGTTCTTGATTCCAATTTAAGGACTCCTTATTGACATAGTCAAATCAAGTCTTTACAACAATGGTTTGTTAAATTTCCAATAATTGCCAAAAACGGCTCCTATTGTTGTAAAGACTTGATTTGACTATGTCAATAAGGAGTCCTTAAATTTAAATTGCTTTGAGCTATTTAAAAAATATTCACTATGAAAGTAAACATTTGAGTGGATCAATTGGAATTAAATTGTTATTATTTTTAATTCTGTTAAAAATTATAAAAATTAATAAAAATATTAAGATCGTTAATATTTTTATTGCTTTCATTTTAATCTGTTTTATTAATTTAAGAATTCGCTTAGATTGTTGATTTAAATACAAATTTACTTCAATGAAAATTCACTGCAGTGAGAATCTTTTCGCAAGAATCATTGCGCGAGAAGAATTTCTCTGATACGCTCTAATAGGATTCCAACTATTTGTAATTTTGATTTTACGTAGGTTTTCAGACCCTTTAAAGATTAATGTCATGTTGCTGTCACAGTTTAAAAACAAACAGCTCTCGCTTGTCAGATGAGATTTGCATGATCGGCCCCAAATTTAATTCAGTTTAAAATTTTTAATTACGTTCACTTGATGGCGTCACTTGCAACATTGATCAAAGGGACTGTGCGAGCAGCACCTGATTCACCATTAGTTTTGATCCATCCAGAGTGACGTACTAAATTGGCAGTTGATTATCAAAATTGGCTGGAGACCGGAGGAGCGTCGGCAGATGGGAATCCGCCCGCACTGCTGCGTCCCCGGCTGTGCTGCGAAATTAATAATGTGTTTTAATGAAATAACCGGCGACGAGCTGCACGTAAATCATCCAATTTTCGCGAGGAGCTTCTTCCTGCCTCCCTCCGGCCGCAGCCGAGAGTCCCGGAGGAAACTGCGTTTGCCTTAATATACGAGCGAGGCGCGACTCAAATTACTAACGACTTTGTCGCTCGCACATAAACGAAACAAGATCACTTTTCTACAAATAGCAATAAGAGGATTATCCAGCAGATTGCACATTTTTAATCTTTTATACAAAATGGAAATTCTGGAAATAGTTTTTGGGTTTTATCTAATTTTTGAGCTTAAAATTTTTCAATTAAATTAAGAATAAAAAATTCGTTGAAATTTTTCATCGTGTGTTGTGTAATTTCTCAACATGAATGTGTTGTGAAATTTTTCAACATGAATTTTTTTATTATATAAGAAATAATGTTATTTCTACGAAAATTTGATTGATGAATGGAAATTAAGGGAGTCTTAAAAAAGTATTGAAGTTTTCAAAGGGAATAGGCCTTATGAATTTTCAAGGGAGGAGATAATTTTAGGAATTAACGGAATTAAATATGCATAGTCTAAATTATAATAAATATTTCCAGAGACTCGTTTAAGCTTGCAATAAACTCAATTACTAAAAATATTAGTCCGCCTAGTGAAATTTGCGGTTCAAAGTTTATGAAAACGTTTAGATGAGTTTGTATTTCAAATTACAAACAACAAATTAAAATTAAAAAAGAATCAGAGATGCGCCTGTTGGAAGAGCGGAACAGCGGAAAGCAACGCCAAATAAATGAATTACCACCGGACATGACTGTGCACTCCGTGTACCGAGCAGCAACTTGACAATTACACAGGACAGCAGTGGCAATGTTTGGTGAGTCGTGAATAAAAAATGTACCAGCCACTCACGTGTGGACATGATGTCGCGGCGAGCAGTGTGTGGCGAATGCAAATATTTGGCCGAGCGCTCAATTGGACTCTGCGCAGAATGCTAGTTAAATTAACAAGACCCTCTCGGTCAGAAGTTTGCTTTTGACCGGCGGAAAAAATCTTTCCAAAGAATGTCGCCGACAGACTAAATAAATCAGCTTTCACGATATATGGGCGGCCGACGAGCCTTTGAGAGGCAATGCGCGCTACAATTTAATCAAACCCTAAACTTTTCCAATTCCTTAAGTCCTCTTATTGTTAGTGCGCCTTTTTGATTGATCGTTTGCCTATAGTTTCAACGCGAATGAATGTGTTCAATTTAGATTAAAATAAAAGTTCATATAGAACCGTTTCAATTCAATTAATTGCTTTGATCAGCATTTTTAAAGTTCAATAATAGATCGACGAAGTTCTTTAAAGACGATTAATTAAATTAAATTTAGTTGAAAATCGTATTACTGATCAATGACAAAAGAGATTGCTGCCCATAAATTTAGTATTCATCAAAATTTAATACATATGGCATGAATTGTAAGAATTATCTTCATTAATATAAGTTATTGAATGTGCGGCATGATTTCAGATCACTTATATATCACTTGCTAATAAATATGAGCAATAAGTGCATATCAAACGGTTTACAAATCTAAATATTATTGAACAGGTAACTAAAATTGTTCTTTTCGTCAATAGTGTGGGTTTATCGAGTCTCTTTTGATGTCGGGCATTTTAGCAGACATCTGCTTATTGTAAACCCTTTCTTCTCTTTTTTCAAATTTAAATTTTGTATTGACCAAGCAGAAATTATAATTTATCATATTATATTATAGTAAATATGCTAAAAAGTTTCATATTTTTATCAAAAATAAATTTTTAACTCAATGTTTAACTAAAAATATTTTTAATTTTAAGCGCATGCAAATAGTTACTCAAATTTATATTATAAATTTGGGTGTGTCAGTGCACAATAATTTTAATTTTAATTACAAAATTGATTTATGCATGTTTACCGTGCATCTCATTTTTACTTCAAGTAATAATTTTTCAAGATAAGGTTATGAAAATGGACAAGAAAAGAGGTGAAAAAGAGGTGAACCTTTAATAAATCCCTGTTTCAACACTTAGGAGTGCGAATTTTTAGATCGCAATATCGATTTCAGTCTATAAATTTTGCGTTCTTTCTAATTAAATATTTAAAAATAACGTTAAAAAACAATGATTGCTAGATAAAAACTTTGATTATTTTGAAAATTGGCTAAATACATCATACTGCACCTTAAAAGAAAATATTAGAAAATGAGATAAAATCAATTTTTCTTAATAATTATTCGCAATTCAAAAATTAAAAAAAAGCATACGGAAGGATCAAAACTGAATCTTCTGTGCGATTTGAGATACGAATGCAGGTGGCCCAGTGTGATAGCCCGAGGGAGTTGAGTCAAAAGTGCTGTGTCTCGGCGTGAGACTCACCTGCTGCTCGGTTTGTTGCTTTCCGGGGGCGGGCTGCCTCTTCGGGGTCCGCTGAACGCTGGTTCTGGAGGCGTGCCTGGCACTGCCACCCTCGGAAGGCCGGGGGCCCGACCGACGGGGCAGCAGCGGCGGCACCACTTCTTGCCCTTTGTGGGGGTCGACGAGCAACCCGGCCTGGATCATCTGCCGCTCGCGTTGCGCCTCTTCTGCCTGCACACATTAAAAAAACCAAAGTTATGCAACGCCGCTCGACAGACGTGTCGGGCGGGAAGTGGCAATTTGGAAGCTTCGACGTTCCGTGACTTTTACATCGCACACGGACCGCGATAAAAAGGAGAGTGAGAATTTCATAAATCATAAAGTTGGCGCGCTTTTTAATGACTTGCCGGAGATTGATGTTAAAATTGCAACTTTGACGCCAGTAACAAAATATTACATGGCGTGCGCTCAGAGAAATTTTTAACCGTGACGTGAAAAATGGAATTTCGCCGGAAATTATTTCTGCTGGCGCGAATTGCAAACTCCAGAACGAGTTTCCGTCGTTTTTATTATGCCAGTTTCTGTTGAATGACGTTCTCGCACCTCTCTGCAAAAACTATCAGTTTGTCTCTCTACTTCTTGCCCTAGTACGTGTGTGCACATGCTTGTTGACAGATCCATATCTCGCTTTCTCTCTCTCTTTTATCACGAAAACAAGTGTCGAGGGAGCCAAAGGTGCTTGATGGATGAAACTTCTTACCGTTGCTGACGATTGCGTTTTTACGTGAGTGTGTGCGCCTCGCGAGGAAGTGTTTTGTGCGCGGAAATAGCAAACTGGAATTGCTGCTTCCCGCGGGGGAGCCGATCCAACTTGAGCTTCTAGTGTGTGAATACGAAAGGGAAATGGTGTTTGACGAGTGACAAGCCGCGCTAGGGTGGCACCATTTACACTTATTTTCCGGCCCGCGACAATCGTTGCTTGCAAGTAAAGAGTGGTTTTGTTGCTGACAACGCCGCAGCTTTGGTCAAAATCGAATTAGTGCTTGCAAACAAATGGCAAATGTTTCCGGTGGAGCTAGAATCAAAGAACTGTTTCTGTCAGCATGGAAAAGTCCAAACTTGGCGTTTTTGACGTAGCCTAGAAATTTTAAAACTCGTCCCATAATAAAAAAGAATTAACAATTAAAACAACAACAACAACAACAACAGAGTTAATGAGATGCCTGAAATTTGGATTTTCAGATCCGATGAAGTGTGAATTATAATCAATTTAATCTATTAATATATATTGAAATGACTTTTTTTATGATAAGATATCATAATACATTTTCATGCTATTTTCAGCAAATTTGTATCTTTTGGAATTATTTTCTTGTTTTTATGATTAATTTGTTTGAAAAGTTTATGTTTGTGGCATAGATTCCCATTAGAATAAAATAAATTTATGCTTTGCAATTGAATTTAATGAATTAAACTGTAGCGAGTCTTGGCCGCAGATGCAAAAAACTATTGATTGACTAAAAAAGTACCCAGAAATCTTACATATTAAACCGATATTAGTTACATTTGAGATCTTTCAGCAAAACCACATTTCTTTTTCAGGGCCATGTCTTGATTCACGGTCTCATAATAAAAACGATAAATCTAAAAACTGCTTCAAAATCTGTTCAACAAAAGCAATAATCTATTTATAGCCCTTACAGAGCAAATTTAGAAAAGGATATTTGCACCCAATTCGATATTATCCAGAAATAGCGTACATAAATCGTCAATTGCTGCCATAAAACAATATATTCAAATGTGGCAGAGAGGAATTTACACCAGCATTTCGGTGAAAACGCCATGAATTTTAAGCAGAATTTCCGTGTCAAACGCACATTGGGCCTGAGATAAACGTTTTAAAGCGGCACCCCGTGTATGCTGATCTCCAAGAAACTTTTTTCAAGCGATCTCGTTCTAATAAGTTTTATTGCAGACCCCGAGTAAATTGCGAGTCGGTACGTTGGCTCCATAAAGTTCTCGCCGGCAAGGAGCAGCAACTCCCAACGGTCGGTTGCTCTGCCATAATTTTCACCATTGGCACCCTTTATGTTCAGTTTACACGTTCGTCGGTCGGTGCGCTCGCCCGCTCGCACGTGGGAAGAGCGCCATGACTGACAAGGCAACATGAAACTGTCAGGAAAAATAACATGTGCATGCATAATAATCGGCAGTGCAACCGGAGAGATAATTTAATGTTTGAAACGAGATTTCTTTGCTAAAAATAAATAATAATAAAAAATAAAAAAATCGCATGAGACGCTCTACATTATTTCTCATTATATGAGGAATGGAAAGGAGTTTATGTGAAAATACAAGGAAATGCTGTGCGAAATATAAATGTGAGCCGTTGACATTGTAAACCGTGACAGGGACTTTCTCAAATGCAGGCAAGTGTGTAGAGTAAAGCACTAAAATAAATGTAGTTTATCAATGTATCAAGAATATCACAATAACTTCACAAGTCATTTCAAAATATAAATCTATTTATTTATTTAAAATCTTTAAATTTCAATATTAGGAATAATTTGTAATCAATGTAATTTATAATAATGAATTTATGGATGATGTATTTGGGCAGAGAATGCCCGATGGTACATTAATAAACATAATTTGAAACTAATTTTTGATTATTATCATTTTTTTCTATTTAATATAACTTTTAATTTAAAAGTTTTAATACATACAAAAACTCCTGTAAGGGTGAATTAATTCTTTAATAATAAATGATTGAAATCTAAGATAAAATAGGTATAAGTGGTACTTTAATACGACTTTATTTAATAATTTTCCAAGCAGAAAGTACTTCTTGAATAATTTACCCTTTGAGAGCAAGAGTGGACTTTATATCTCTACTGTTTTTTTTTCTATCAGATACAAATTATAAATTACACAATTTCAGTGTGGTACACATAATAAATTAATTTGAAAATGTTTAGCCCCAAACCAATAAACTCTTTTTTATATAAACTGTTTAATTAATCCCAAATAGGCAACGCTGTTAATTTTCAGTAACAAGGTAGTCTTGCGATTATTGATAAACTGCGGTATTTGTCAGGTGTTTCCTTTTTTTATAAACATCCACAAAAATCATGCTATTTTGCCAGAAAATGGTCTTTTGTTGAGGTTCAAACTTCAAACCGCATCCATAAATACAATTGCCTTATTAATCTTATCATTGCACACAGTTCAACTGCTCACATATATGCAAATCTGTTATTGTTTGGTTATTTAAAATCCATTTGAGTATGTTTATTATTTTAAAATATTTTTCATTGGACTTTCGCACACGGCCCGGAACTCAGCGAGTCCCGCTTTTGAGCCGTATAAATACGAAATCGGCTCAGCGGATTTATTCCTTCGCGTCAGCACGACGCGGTTATCATTTTTCAACGTGACACCTGCGCTCGGAGAAAAATGGGAATTTGATATTCGGCGCGCGCGAGATAAAACAGCCGCAATTCATCCGCGGGTGTGTCGGAGTGAAAAAATGAGTGCTGCGCTTTCGGTGTTTGCTCGTTCACTTTTCACCTGTCTCTTTTTGATCCTCTTCTGGATGGCCTCCTCGTGCTGCTCCACTAATCGGCGCTCCATCTGCTGCATGTAGTCACGATCCATAAATCGTTGACTCTTGCCCGGCTCGAATTTTTCCTGGTGATGCCGCGGATAACAATGGGGCGTCGCAGCAGCAGGTCTATCTTTGCATCGGCGACCCTTGGATTTGGCCTTGGCGGGGCGCGCGAGAGGGCTGCTCGTCGGGATCGACGGCAAACTGCGACAGAAAAAATCACGTCCTCATTATTGCGAGAGCTGTCAAATAAAGTTCACTCCTGGCTGGGGGGGACGGGCGAAAATCGGAAAAATCTATTCTCTTACATAGGAGGAAGGAAACGAGAGAGAAATGGGGTACGACATGCCAAGTCCATACTGGGTTCGACGCATACCCTGCACATTCCCTAACTATGAGCCTTTGGCAGTTAATAACTTTAAAAAAGGACTCTTTTATTTTCTGATTTTATTTGTTACTTGCAATAAAATCTGCACATTATTCAATTTCAAATAATATATAAGTGCATTCTCTAATCTTCATAATTAATTTGCATTTCTTATTGTAGAGCAAGTTTTCTAATTAAAAAATAAAAGAAATGTTTTATGATTTTCAAATTGCCAATGTAAACAATCATGAATAATTTTCAACTCTAATATATATTCATCACAGAATAGTTAAAATCATCTAATTGTAAGTTCCTGATAGAATGAAAATGTGAACTGATTTAACTAAATTTACTAAAAGCAATTAAAATAATGTTAGTTTGTCAAAAAATGCAAAATATAAATAATTTTTAAAAATTTATAATTTTCAATTTATTCCAGTATAATTATTGCACTTTTTTTTAATAAATTTTTGTTTAAAAAGGTGCGATTTTCATACTTTATATGGGATGCGTTGAACCCTGTATGGTTTTGGAATACGAGTATGGGACGGATGCACACCAAAGTAATAAAACGACATCGATGCTGCGGAGCTTCTAGCTTAGCTGGTTTATGAATTGGAAAAATGAAAATCGTCCCGCTGCGGCATGCACGAGATTCGAATGACTCTCGGCGGTCGTACAAGTACATAAAACCGCCTTCGCATTAAATAAGTACACGGACTGGAAGTTGGAAATTGGCTACGTTTGAAGAAGTTGAGTTTCAATTATGGCCACAGACTGACTCAGATTCAATGCGGCTCCAAAGTGTAATGCACACAAACCGTCGTCATTGAAAAGTCACAGAAGTTACGACTAAATTTAATCGTGTGTATGTGGCACGTGTTCCCTCCCATCCGACGGAGTAATAAGTTTGTCGGTGCACAATCAATTCAATTACATAGTTGCTCTCTCGCACTCGAGTACTGCGGCACCTTCTCTTGAACAGATGGAATCGGAGGAGTGCGATACTCAGACACTTAATGTGCAGATTACATTACATTTGGAACTATGTTTAATTAACTCAACAGTAAATTTCAATTATAGGCTCTTGAATCACTGAGATAATATTATAATACTAATTTTGTTCCCTAACAAAAAATAATTTATTCGGGTTTTAAATTCTCAAAAGTCATGAACTTTTTTTTTCTTTCTTTGAATTTTGGATGAATTCTTAGATGGGGAAAAGATGCCTTATATCAAATTCCAATAAACAAATCTTTGAAGCTAAATTATAAATTTCAACGTTTGTTAAAAGCATAATTTTTTTAAATGACATTAAAGCAATTGAAGCAGAAATTGAAAATACCTGTTCTATTTTTGTTTGAGTTTTGTAATTCAAGAGGCAAAAATCACATAAGAAAATATATTGATATAGCCAAAATTATGATAGAAACACTTGAATAAATCATCTCATGGCCATCAGACAATTGGAATATATAACAACCAGCTTGATACAAAATCTAAATTTATTCTGAACAGTATTTTAAGGAAAACAATATTTGATAAAAAATAAAAAATAAATTAATGAAGAAATAAATAAGTAAATATTACATGCAAGTTTCAAGCTTGGAGCGCTTCAGGGAAAAGCGCATCTCCCTTCAATATCTCTCTACTCACAGTTAGATTTTCCAATCAGACGAACGAAATTAGAATGGAGCCGAATGTAATCAGAAAACGGAGTCTGCAATTTATAATCTGCGTTCACCTGAAGGCCCGAAGGGAGCGGCGTCGCGGAATCGGAAAGTGCCTGACGTTGTAGCGCGATAAATAAAGAGGCCTTTTGTGCGCCAACAAAGTGCCACGAGTACATAACGTGCGCGCCGAAAGTGATTTCGCCCCGCAAAGAATGGCCTGTGTGTTGTAGGCAACAATCTTTCTTTGCATAATGCGCTTAACTTTTTAACAAGTTGCACACAAGTTTTCCTCTGAAATTCTTCAATATGCATATACAAGAGAGAGAGCCAATGAAATTTCGCTCCCAAGTATACTCTTCGCCAAGACAAAGTGGAGAAGTTGAATGGCGGAATTATTAAATGGGACTCGAGCATGACAAGAAAAGTGGAAAGTTTAATTTACTGCCAACTATAAGCGTCATCAGGCGATTTCCTGTTGAGCCGACAAATTATACACACAATTAATTGCAAACACAAGAGCAGTGCAAAGTTTCGGTGCGCGCAACAAAAGTTACCGGTAAAAGTTCATGTCGAGGGACTACGTGTGCATCTCGCCAGTCGGCCAAGGGAGGTGTGAATGGAACGCGAAACAGTACCTGATCTTGCTCTGCATGCAAAATCATAAACGGCTCGGGCCACGTGATTCGCGCGAGGTGCGATGGGCAGGTGGATATTTTCACTTACACGGTGCATAATCATGTGGAGCGGAGCAAGCAAGGAACAGCCAGGCCTTCTTTTCAGAGAGATTGCGCGCGATATTTGGGCGTCATGCGAGATGAAAAAAGTTTTTTAACACGCCATCGGATCCGGCCGGGGCTGCTTTTTCTCTCTCTCATTTGATATTGTATTCCAATCGCACCCGCGAGCGACTGAACATATTCCCAGCGATGTCGTGACTCGCAATACTCCTCGATATTGTTCACGTGCGGCTGCCCTTCTTTTCCGCCGTCCACATTTTAATGCATGCGCCCTGCCGCCAACCATTCAACAGCCACTGTTTATCGTTTTAATATTTTCGTCCCCGCCGCGCTGCTGTCCCGTGCCATTACGCCCACTGCATTTCGATTCATTGCACATGGCTGCGTGTGTGTGTTTGTGTGTCACCGCCCTTTCCCTCTTTTCGTCGCCTGGCTTTGTATTATTCGGTTTGCATGCTCTGCCGATCAACTTTGAGAGCTGCCTTGAGCCACCGGCAAAAAAAGGAGAAAATGCGATTTTATGTACAGACGAGTATGTAAAAAGGGGTTTATCCTATCGACCGACTTATTTATACTCGGAATTTCACTGTGAAATTTTGAACTGCGCTTCAAGGAAAAAAGCTCAACTTTTATTGTTACTTTTCTTGCACAGTTAAAGAGTTTCAATTATTTTTACATAGCTTTTTCTACTTTTAATTTTGAATTTGAGGAAAGTATTTATGAAAAAAGAATGAAATTATAAAAACATTTATTATATATTCTTCAGTAATATTTTGACCTATTTGTTTAAAAAAATCTCAAGTTTGTCAAAACCTAAGCTAATATTAAAGTCGTTGATTTTTGCATCTACAATATTAATAATAAAATTTACCTCTAAAATTTTATTTAATTATCTGCAATTTTTTTTTTACCTTCATGAGAATTCAAAAACATTTTGATCAATTTAATCTTTTGCTATGCAATTGAACAATTAATTTTTGAGCATTTTCTTTTTATCCCTTTCCCTATTAAAATTTCAAATAAAACTGAAATTTTTCATTTAAATCGGTAGATACAAAATGTGTACACAAATTTTAATGGAAACGTGCAGTTAGGCTTTTAACAATAAAAAGCTTTGTGATCAATTGACGAGGTGGAAGATATTTTAGCTCTATATGTTGGCCGGAAATCCAATTAAAATTGAACGTCAAATGCGCCTTTTTTTGACACGTTTCGAGTTTTTATGCTTGTTAACACCGAACGAAATGGCGCTTTTTCGTGCGCAGTGAGGTGCAAAAACGGTAGTTGGAGTCGAAATAAAAGCCCCATTCAGTAAAAGTGAGCCGCAATATATTAATTTCCATAAAGGGCCGCGCCTGTGTATGTCTGTTAATTACGCTCCGCCGATAATTTTTCCGCCGAATTAATGTAGATAAAACAGACCGTTCGCGAGCACGTTCGCATTTTATCCGCATTAATTTATTTAACTGCATTGTGTGTGTAAAGTGTTTGTGGCTGCGAGTCGGGATATATTCGCCGTTTGTTATTGATTCCGCGGGCTAGTGTGTATGCATGTTATATTCAAAAGGCCCGACGGTATTATTTCAAACGCCGTTTATTCGCGATCATGGCGAACTGCACCCTCTTGACCCCGTTGCCCGCCCGAGCTTATTGCACACGTAGGCCGCAGACAAAAGTGCTAAAATAAAATAATATAATAAAAAACCACAACGTCGAGTGGGAGATATAGAGAGAGAATCGTGCTCTGGCACTTTTCCGTGGGCTACGATTTTCATTCCCCGCCAAAAAGCGTTTGATCGAAGGAGTCACCTGAATAAGTCCTAAAAAAATCTCCGATAATAAAAAAAAATTCATCATCAACTCAGTCAGTGCATTTTAAAATATTATATATTGATGCAAAATGGGTCATATATTTCTCGTTGTTCAAATGAAAGTAATTAATCTTGTGGGAGGTATAAATCCAAGTTAAGTGTAGTAATTACAGTAAAAATTTAAAAAATTAGTTAGGAAAATTAAGGCTTTAAATTTGAAAACCAGCAACATGTAAATTATGTAAATTAGATGTGCAAGACAGGGCACACCTTTTTAACTGTGCCGTCCTTTTAAACCAAATTGACCCCCTGCAAAACCTGAGCAGGACAGAAATTGAATCTCAACTCTATTGGATCGCTTGAAGAATGAATAGCTGAAAAGCTCAACACATCTGGCATAAAAAAAAAATAATAATAATAATAATAACAGAGAGCAAAATCATTTTAATCAAAATTATCAAATTTTCTAATGTATTTCCAGCATTGTACATAATTTTGATTCCTGAATTTGCGGCTTTTTTTATGTTTGTACTTTTTCATGTCGATGCATGATTCCGCTTTTTTTTTACAGAGTGTACTTTTTTGCGTTGTAAGTACCATGAATGGTGGAAAAATA